ATGTTTCTCAGTGCGCCCGACATAATTACAAAGTAGACATACGAATCAGCAAAACGGTTAGCGCCCGTTCTAAATCTGTGGCGAACGAGTGTGGCGACGAAATGTCTGAATGATAGTTGGACGTCTGTCTTGAAGTCTATGTATACATCTACCCTAATCTGTGAGTATAAGTGCTAGATTGAAACGGAGAATGCGATTTTGTACGAGCTACAGAAATGAACTTATTACATAAAAAGTTACTAATTACTGCGATATCCCCTAGCTAAGTACCAAAAGTAACAGTTTTCAATACTGCCAATGAGAGCAAATATGATCAATTTCCTGCCCCTTCATTAAATTTTCATAGCGTAATCGCACTCTCACGTTGCTTCTAGATGCTCAGAAGACAAACCGTTTCAGCAGGCCACGACTCAAAGCTATTTAGACTCCTGTAGAGCACTGATTTTCTGCTGTTTTTCTAAGTTGAATCAAGCCAGTGCGCGTCAGAACCCCAACTGGGGTTCTGAGCAGTGGCCGTTCCAGTATCAACTGAAGCAAGACAGAGTACGTTCTCATTTATATGCACTTGCATATTGGCAATCAAAAGCAAGGGAACAGGATGTTTATGATACCGACGGAATCAGAAACGACTATTTTTGGCCGGCGGCTCCAGCATGGTGGCATGATGCGTAATAGATGGCGTCAGATTCAAACTTCACATATATTCCTTCTTCCCAATCGCCGCGGGATATATTCGTCTTTATTATGAATTACCTTAAGCAAAGAATTTATTACACATTGCTTCAGATCCGCTTTACTCAGTCTGTCGAGAGTCGGTGAAGAGACAGAAATGAGGTTTCTTTCGAATGTTTGTTTTAAGTTCAACAGCGTCTGAGATTTCCTTGATTATAAACCGCTGCTTCTTCATTTCACAAGGTTACGTTAGTGTTGTTTGGTTATGTCAATGGTCCAAGATGCTAGAAAGAACTCATGTAAGACAGATGAATTTCTTCACAAAGCCATATGGTACATGGCCAAATACGAACCGGAACACGAGACTACCCGCGGTTACCTGGCGTTATCGTACCTTGGAATCAAGCGCCATGCTGCTCAGCTGATTGGCAGACGTGGACGATATTTTATATTCCCCTTACAAAGTCTTGTGCTCGCAGAAGGAAATATTGGTGTTTGAAAATAAATAAATAAATTGTTGCAGA